GAAAGGGTCAAGAGTCCAGCTAGTGTTGCTGGTCACTGACCCTCTGCTCTATGTAAACAGGACCCGGCTGTTGTGCATCTCAACCCTCCCCGGTGCTGGCCCGCTGGCCGCAGCCTCTGCCCTTTCTTACGCTCTCGGGTACCCGGCCCCGGGGCCTTTCCTGCCGCACCCCGGCCTTGCTCGCTCACGAGTGCTGTTCTCCAACCTCACCAGCCGCTTCTGCTTCTCTGTTGCTCCAAGCCTACTCCTGCCTCAGGGCCTTTGCACCTACAGGTCTCTCTTCCCGGATTCCCTTTCCCCATGTTTTCCCTTCTTTAACAGAAATTTTATTTTTAGATTCTATCATTAGAATCTAAAACAAGACCTAGAATAGTTTAGGCATTTAATAAATATTTGTCCCATAAATAAATGAATGAATTTTGATTTCTGATCTAATGTAAGAGTCCTTGTTTGTTTGTTTGTTTTTATTTGAATTCAAGTTCGTTGGCATACAGTGTAGTATTGGATTCAGGAGTAGAACCCAGTGATTCCTCACTTACATATAACACTCAGTGCTCTCCCAACGAGCGCCCTCCTTAATGCCCATCCCCCATTTAGCCCATCCCCCCACCCACCTCCCCTCCAGCAGCCCTCAGTTTGTTCTCTGTATTGAAGAGTCTCTTATGGTTTGCCTCCCTCTGTTTTTACCTTATTTTTCCTTCCTTTCCCCTATGTTCATCTGTTTTGGTTCTTAAATTCCACATGAGTGAATTCTTAATGATATTTGTCTTCCTCTGACTTATTTCACTTAGCATAATATGAGAGTCTTTGTTTTGTGGTTTTTTTTTTTTTTTTTTTTTTTGACAGGGTGCAAGTGAGTGAGAGGTAGACAGGAGAGAATCGCAGAAGGGGGAGAGAGTAGGGGGAGGGATGGGGGGAAAGAGAGAGAGAGAGAGAGAGAGAGAGAGAGAGAGAGAAACCGGGCTTGTGTTCACCTGAAGCAGGGTGTGCGCTCACCCTATGTGATCTCACCCTGAGATCATGACCTGAGTGGAAGTCAGATGCTTGATGACTGAGCCAGCCAGGTGCCCAAGAGTCTTTGCTTTTTAATAGACCCATTCAACCCATTTATGTTTATTGTTTACATGGATACGTTTGGTCTCATTTCTTCCTCTCTTCTGTTTTCTGTTGACTGACTATGAATGAATGAATGAATGAGTGAGGTGAGGCAGAGTACATTCTGGTCCTGGGGTGAGCTGGAGCCTGGGGGTCCTCCAACAACTCATTCTTTTTTATTTCTTTAAAAAAAACATTTTTTTTTTAAAGTAAACTCTATACCTAACGTGGGGCTCGAACTCACAACCCTGAGATCAAGAGTCACATGCTGTACCAACCGAGCTGCCAGACGCCCCAGGACCCCACATTCTTGCAAGTATTTATTCCATGACCCTCGGTGTCCCCAGATAAGGGCTTATTTTCGTCTCTCCCGGAGCCCCTCATCCCTTCCCTCCCACCCCCGCTTCCCCACAGGAAGTGCCAGGTTTATGACTCTGGGTTCTGGAGCCAGATCTGCATTCCCACCCCAGGTGCCCTGTTATCTGGTGGTGTGGTCTTGACTTACCTCCCCAAGGCTTCATTTCCCCATGGGTAAAATATTGGTCATAGTATTCACTTCCTACCACGAGGTTGTTGAAAGGACTGGGTGACAAAACTTGGAGCAGAGGGCTTTGCACAGAGCACCTGGCTTGGAGTGGGGACTCCGTAAGCATCAGAGTTTATTATTGTGGTTCCCGTACCTCAGTTTCCTTCCATTGTAAATGAGGCTGCTTGTCATTTCCTTCTAGGCACCTCAGGGTCCCGCCTCAAAGTCTGGAGCTAGAGGACTGTGCAGTCCACCCTCTCCGGTCCTTCTGCCCCAGCCCCAGAGAGGGTCTTTCACCAGGACTCTAGGGGTCCACAGAGGCCTGACTTACCACCGGGAGGCAGGGAGAGGAGATAACCCCCAACTGTGATGAGCGGTTTGCTCCTACCCCACGGCCACACCAACGTTATCCCCATCACACGGATGAGGAAACTGAGACTCGTGGACTCATTTAATCCACAGACACGCCCTGAGCACCTACTATGTGCAGGCTGTGCTCGGCCCTCTCCCATTGGGCTCACAGCCTAGCAGGGAGGACGGAAAAAGCAACCCACTCGCAGGATTTAAATCAAGTGCCTTGCGGGGGCGCCTGGGCGGCTCAGTCGGTCAAGCGACCGACTTCGGCTCAGGTCATGATCTCACAGTTCGTGGGTTCAAGCCCCGTGTTGGGCTCTGTGCTGATGGCTCGGAGCCTGGAGCCTGCTTCCGATTCTGTCTCTCTCTCTCTCTCTCTCTCTCTCTCTCTCAAGAATAAATAAACATAAAAAAAAAAATAACCAAGTGCCTTGCTCTGCCCCTAAAAGTCTCCCAGAGAACCTTCTAGCATCCCTGCTGGGGCCGGTGGGGGTGGGGACACTGCTTCATTTGCACAAAGGAGTAAGTGAGGGGGGGGGTTATTGCTGGGCAGAGCTGCCAGCTTCCCAGGGGTGTGGCAGCCTTCCTGCCTCTGCACCAGCTCCTGCCCCTGAGGGAAGATTCCTCCTCAGCCGCTGCTCAGGCGTCACTTCCTCCGGACCCTTCCGGGCCAGGAGGGCAAGGTCAGGCCCCGACACTCTTGCTCAGCGCCTGAGGGCTTCCTCTCCTGTAACCTGTTCCCTACTCACTCCCACTGTTCTCCAGGCTTTACCTGGCGCTGAGTAGGTGCACTATGTGTGAACGAGCCCTGCAGGGGCCCCGCATCAGGGAGACACCTGCCTCCCCACTGCAGGTGCCCGTGGCCCCAGGAACCTGTCTCCTCCTTCTCCACGCATTTCACGTGCAGGATGACTGTGTCACTGACAGGCTGCGTCCTCTAGAACATCCACAGTCTGAGGACGGGGCTCTCTGCCTGTTCCCTGCACTGTTGTGTCCCCTGCAGGGCCTGGCCCATAGCAGGTGCTTAATTAGTATCTGCAGAAGAAAGGAAGGAAGGAAGGGAGAGAGGGAGGGAAGCAGGGAGGGAGGGAGGGAAGGAGGAAGGAAGGAAGGAAGGAAGGAGGGGAGGGGGAGAAGGAGGGAGGATTCACGTTTTCATTTGTTCATTCAGCAAATGCTCATTGAGTGCCACCTGCTCACTAGTCTGGGGACAGAGCATGACCAACACAGACACGATTCCTGCCCTCGAGGCGCTGACTTTCTGGTCAGTGCAAACAGTTGTGATGTCGGGTGGTAAAAAGCGCTATGGGCAAAGGGAAAGCCGGAGGGGTAGCAGGGAGGGTGTCTGGGCTACTCCGCGGGCTGCCCGGAGGAGGTGGCAGCCGGCAGGCGGGCCCTGAGTCCCTGCCCCCAGCGGGCAGAGGTGGGGCTGTCGTAACTGTGGGCAGCCAGGGTTGCCAAATGTCACCACAGCCGCGTCACTGAGAGCCGGGAGGGGCGTGGGGGGCGGGGGGGGGGGGCCCCTCCACCCCCAGGCGGGCCTCAGGCCCGAGTCACGCAGAGCTGGGTCAAAGCCTGCCTGGCGTCCACTGTTAGTCACTCTGTACGTCGCGGCTACCTGGCTACTTGCTGTGACGGACCATTTTCAACATGCCCGAGCGTCCACGTTCCCACTCCAAGAGAGGAAGAAAACGAGGCGGAGACTGTGGAAGACCCTATGCGTGCCCTGCCCTCCCTCCAGAGGAAGGAATTTGGTGTCCTGAGTCTGGGGTCCATGACCTTCTGTGTGATTTCATGTTACTTGCCTGGGTTTAGTCTGTGTGTCCCTGGGCAAGGCACTTGGCCTCTCTGGGCCCCGGGTGCCTCATCTGTGTCTTTGGAGCAATAAAATTCCTCCCTCAGAGCTGTGTAAACTGCGTGGACAAGGCCCGGTGCATAGTAGGCCAGTTACTGTGCTTGAACACCCAGAACAGGGGCAAGGAGACATCAGGTGTGTCAAGAATGGAACTTTTGGTTTTTTGTTTTTTTTTTTTTGAACTGGGGGGAGAGAGAGAGAGAGCGCGCGTGCGTGCGCGTGCAAGCAGAGGCGGGGCAGAGAGAGGGAGACAGAATCCCAAGCAGGCTCTGGGCTGTCAGCTCAGAGACTGCGGGGCTGGAAGTCACCAACCAAACTGCGAGATCGCGACGTGAGCCGAAATCGAGAGTCAGACGCTCAACCCCCTGAGCCAGTCAGGCGCCCCCCCCCCCCCCCCAGGGATGCAGCTTTCAAACAAGCTGTCTCCCGGCTGCAGAGTGGGGTCGTGCGGTGCTGAGGCACGAATTCGGGTTCATTCCGCTCCCCTTCCTGTTGGCTGTGCCTCCCCCACCACCTGGGAAAGCCCGGGGTTCCCACCTGCCTTGTTCTTTGCTGTCACCCTAGCTCCCAGCCCGGCGTCTGGAGACCTCCAGGATAGGTTTGTGGATGGGCAGGAATGAGAAAGTGCGTGGTGCGCAGTGGGTGCTTTATAAACTCTTTGTTTCCTCCTCTCCCGGCTGTACCCTCTTTTCCTCCTGCCCCAGGGCTAGTGCAGGACCCCACTGCCCCCACATTATGCCAGCAGATCCAGGCTTTCCACCGACTCATTCACTCATTTATTCATTCATACATTCACTTCCGCATGCATGCACTCAACAATTTCTTTTTGTGCACCTACTGTGTTCCAGGCTCTGCTCTAGGATCTGGGGATACCGAAACGTGTAAGACAGGCAAAAATCTTTATCTTCCTGGAGCTGCCATTCTGTCATGGGACACAGTCATCAGACAACAGTGTGATCCAAGCGAAGATTCACTGGGGCCAGTTCCGGGGGAACCGGGGGAGACAACTGCTTAACCCAGTCTGGGGGTTTGGGGGAGGCTGTGGGCTCAGACCGGAAGGGTGAGAAGAAGCCAGATGCAGGGTGTGGAGGGTGTTCTGGCGGATGGACCGTGCAAAGGGTGAGGTGGGCACGGCACTTTGGGGACCTGTCTGTGGCTTGGCCTGGATGGAGGGGGTTGGACCTTACCCTGAGAGGTGGGTGGTGAGCTGGGAGAGGCCTGGCTTGATTTAGGTTTTACAAGGTTTGCTCTGGCTGCAGCACGGAGCCCAAACCGGAGGGGTGAGGCTGGAGGAGGGAAGAGCAGACGGGAGACAGAGGAGAGCAGACAGGCAGGCTTAGGACAGACCAAGGAGCTGGAAACCCTGGATGTGCTGGCCTGGACCTGAGTCTCCCTGGAAACAGGCCCGGGACGCGGCTGCTGCCGAGGCTTTCTCCGTCCTCCCAGGGGACCGGATCAGGCGTCAGCGCACCTCCACCACGAAGACAGTTGGGCAACGGCCCTCGGCCCTCCGACTGCTACCCCCTGTGACTGGCTAGGCCCTTTAGGGAAAGGACCCCCCCGCAACCCCGTGCAGCATGACGTCCTGCCACAGTGTTCACGGAACGGCTGGCACCAGCCCAAGACGGAAACAACCCAGTGATGCATCACCCGAAGCCTCCTCAAATTCACCAGACAGAATATTCTGGAGGCTTGGGAGAGGCAAAATGGTACAGAGGTTTGGAGCACAGACTTGGGAGCCTGTCAGCCTGGGCCTAAATCCCAGCTCTGCCAGCCACTGCTGTGGAGCGAGGCAGGTGCCTTGTTGCTCTGTGCCTCAGTTTCCCCATCTACAACATAGAGATGCTGAGAATAATACAGCCTCCCAGTAGGATCACTTCAACCTTATGACTGGTTAACTAATCCATGCACAGCATCCAGAAACTGTGTCCACCACATAGTAAGTAAGTACTTCAGAAACGTTTGTAGCCTCTAGTGGCATTATTAACATTATGACGCTTAGCAGTGGTCGTGCTAGAAATATGGATTAATCCAAGGGAGGGAAAAGAAGGGGTGGGACAGAATGCAAAGTGGGCTGCTGCCTGTAAAAAAAATGGTCAAGAGGAATGAGTAGAGACTATGTACAGACGCTTGCACCATCGTGGGGGAACCAAGATACTGGCATCGTTGAATTCTCCGGTCGGAGGGAGTGGAGGCCCCGGAGGAGGGGCGGGTAGGGACCCGGACTTTTCACTCCACACCTTTTCCACCCTCTGTGCTCTCTGAGAGGTGTGTGTGTGTGTGTGTTTCCCCTATGTCCTCGTATGTACATTCAAAACCAAACACCAAAAAGCAATTCTGCAAGAGGTTTCCTCCGGGAAGGCCCCGGATCCCCCACCCCCACCCTCTCCAGCCCGCCCCCACATCCTGGCCTGTGTGTGGCCCAGTCTCGCCGCCTCCGCTGCTGGTTTTCAGAGCTGTAGGCCTTGGAGCAGGTCCGAGCTGCAGTGCCCTGCAAGAAAAGGGGCTCCTTGGAGACCCCCAGAGCGGCTTCGGCTCCGGGTGGTGCGGGGTGTGGGGGCTGGGGGGGGGGGTCTCGACCGACTGATGAGAACTCCAAATGCTCCCCAGCCCAGGCTGCTAATCGCTTCCAGATTGGCCGGGTCAGGGCCAGGGCCGCCGCCGCCTGGCTCCATAAACAGCCCGTTGCTCCAGATGGTGGCTGGCTCCAGCCTGGCGAGCAGGTTCACGGGGGACTTGGGGGGGGGGGGCGGTGGCAGCAGGTGGAGGACCCCCACCCCGTCTTGTTGGGGCAGAGAGGCCCCAACCAGCCGGCCTCGGCTGCCGCTCATCTGAGTCGGGGACACAAGGGCCAGAAGGGGCTGCAAAGATGGAACCCATTGCCCAGAGGAGAGAAACTGAGGCCCAGAAGGGTCAAGGACGGTACAAGGTTGGTGGTAGACAGAGGAAGGGGCTCCTGAGGGTTGGCGCTGGGTTTGCTCGGTCTCCGTGAACCCAGCACACAAAGGGGACACAGTAAAAACCCAAGGAAGGAAGAGAGGGCACGGGAGATGGAAGGACAGAGGGTGGGAAGAAGGAGACAAGGAGGCATGATTGCCTCCTGCGTTCGAGTTCCGGCTCTGGAGTTTACTCCCTGAACAAGTGAACTATTTTGGCTCTCTGGGCCTTAGTTTCTTCATCTGTAAAATGGGTATGGCTGTAGTACAGCCTTCGGCAGGTGGCCGGAAGAGTCAGCGATATGGCTCACGCGAACTGCCGGGTGGTGTGCTGGCTGTATACGTAGCAGGTGCTCAGTCTCCTTTCCTCTCTCCCCGATACGCCTTTGGTCCCTGCTTCTCCTCCCACCTGAGAGCACAGCCTCCTCCAGGAAGCTGCCGTGACTTCCACTCAGGCCTCTCTCTTGTGCCAAGCGCCGTGCCCTTCCCATGGCCTCTCGCAGAGTCTCTCCAACACCGTGGCGCCACTGGAACCCGTGCTGTTGCCTCCACCTTCTCCCCCTGTAAATGAAGACACGGAAGTCACAGAGGCGGCAGGACACGCCGGGGGCCTCACTGCCAGGGGAGGCTAGAGCCCGGCGTGCTTCTCCCGGTCACACGGCATGTGGCCCGAAGTCAGGAGACCTGGTGGCTGCTCTGAGAGCCCACATCGTGGACAGGCGGTGAGGACCCAGGCCGGCTGTTGCCCCGGGTTGGTTCTGGGTTGTGATCCCCCAGAAAAGGGGTGTGGAACCCTGGCCTGACCACCTGCTCCCACACCCGCCTGGAGCCCGGGCTGGGCAGTAGCCTCGTCCCAGGGGAGGAGGCTGCAGGACAAGCCGGTGTGTGTGTGTGGGGGGGTGTTCTCCTGGTGGTCATCCCTCCCTGCTCAGCTGAGCAAGAGCCCCGACAGCTGAGCCCCTGTCTCTCCCGATCCTCCCCTTGTGCCTGGCACAGGACTCCCCCAATGCCGCTTTGTTGAACAAGGGACCGAGTCGTCAGGCTATCCAGCACTTACAGACAGGCCAGGCACTCTTTGGAGCAATGAACTTGCGGTAACTTTAATATTCACATCAGCTGCGGGGGGGCGCTATCATTCCCATTTTACAGATGAGGAAAAGAGGCTCAGAGAGGTTGAGAGCCTCGCTCAAGGTCACACAGCTGAGTTGGGCTGCGAACCCCGGACGTTGAGCCCCAGAGCACACACTCTTAACCCCATGTCCCCACTCCCAAGACAGCGGGGGGGGGGGGCCCCGGCGCGGGGCGCCCCCGCTGGCAGGTAGTGGGTGCCCCTCCCCGCCCCCCCCGCCCCCCGCCGCGCCCCCCATCCCCCAGCCCGGCGACGCCCAGCGCCGGGATTCGGATCTCGGCCCAGCCGCGAGGTCAGCAGCCCGCTCTGCCCTGAACCGGGAGGAATGTTCGCGGCGGCCTCGGCCCGGGTCCGAGAAGAAAGGCAGCCTTGTGGGCGAAAGGTGAGCCGCTGGGTGGGCGCGGGCGTGTTTACCCAGGGCCGGGCGTGTGGCTCAGGGTGGCGCCGCTGTCAGCCGCGCCGGCCGCCCCGGGCCTGTGCTGGCCTCCAGATGTGCGCTGGCTCCAGCCGGCCGGGCCCCCCCACCCCACGCACAGAGGGGCTTTATCAAAAGCGGCTGCGAGGAGGGCCCGGGAGGCCGCCTGGCTCCAGCCTGCTGGCTCCGAGCCCCGGGCCTGCAGAAGCCAGGCGAGCCGCACGCGGGCTTTTGCGCCCGGGTCTCGCTCCGCTCCGCCGCCGACCGGCCACCCGGACCCGGGGGGGGGGGGGCGAGGGGGGCGAGGGGTGCAGCCCCCCCCCTTCCGGGAAACCGAAGCTCCAGGAGCCACGCGGAGGGGCGACGAGCCAAGAAGACTTCTTTTTCGCGTAAGCCTCCGCATCCCTGATGGGGGGCAAAGGTGACCCACCCAGCATAAAAAAAAAGGGCAAAACTCGGGAAGACTCACGGGGTGCTCAGCGAGCGACCAGAGAGAAGCCACGTGTGGGAAGGATACGCCGCGGATTCGGGAATGGCGATTCCTTGGGGGGTGGGGGTGGGGGTGAGTGATGAGGGGGGGCTCCGTTCTCTCCACGGGCTTTTCTCTCTTGGGTTGGAGATGGGGGCGTCATTCTTCATATTTTCTTTGTTGGCCGGAACTGGTTTGTCTCAGTACCTAATAGTAAGTGGAGGAAAGGGGAGCAAACGGAGACTTCCTCCTGCTCCCACCCCTCAGCCCTACCCCTGCTTAGAGCTGTCTTCCATACCTTCCAGGGGGTGCCCCAGAACCCACGCGAAGGTCGGCACACATTCTCTTTCCTATTTTTGTTTTTGTTTTACAAATAGCATTGAAATATACACTGCTGGGTGCCTGGCGGTTTTCTCTTAACAGTAGGCGGGGAGGCTTCCTGCAGCCTTGTGCTTTTTCACGGCTGTGTAGTATTCCATCGGGTTGTGGCCGGTCTTCACTCCCACAGATCCCGCTGCGCGGACACCCCCTGTGCTTGTGTTTGGGGGCTCGGGAGTATTTTCTGGACGATCAGCTCTTAGAACTGCAGGTGAGTGCATTTACTCTTCCGAGAGCCATCGCCGCTGTGCCCTGTGGGAGGCCTGTGTCCTGTAGCGTCCCACCAGCCGTGCCTCACCCACGGGGAAACTGAGGCACAGACACAGTCAGCTGTTCTTAAGGGTGAGCAGAAATGCTTCACCTGAGTCTCTCCTAAAAAAACAAAACGCAAACAGCCAAAACACTTCTTTCTTGCTTTCGTTTCTTCCTGATTGCAAAAGAGAAACGTGTCCGTGGCAGAAACTTGAGAAAATACAGATCACAAAGTTAGAAAATAAGGCCTTCACCCTCCCCACCGCCCACCACCAGCCTCTCTGGCTGGACTCGCAGTCCCCTCCTCACTGGTCTCCCTGCTTCCAGACTAGCTCCCCCACAGTCCCTTACAGGTTAACAGGGCCATTTTGCAAAGCCCCACCGCCGGGGCCATGTGGCAATTCTGGGGATGTTTTAGGTTGTCACAACTGGCAGAGGGGTGTGCTACTGGCATCTGGTGGGTGGAGGCCCCTGCTAAACATCCTGCAGTGCCCAGAGAATGATCCAGCTCCAAGGTCAATAGCACCGAGGCTGAGAACCCTATGTAACCGAGTCACGTCCTGTCTGTCCGGTGCTCAGACCTTCCACGGCTCCCACCTCACACAGGAGACAGCCAAGTCTCACGGTGGCCACAGGGCCCTGCGGGACGTGCCCCACTGCCTCCCCACCCTCCCTCCCTGGGCTCCGGCACATGGGCTCCTCCTTCAGAGCCTCCTGCCGTCCGTCACTGTCCCTGTCAAGTGTCACTTCCTCTGGGAGGCCTCCCTGACCTGTTTAATATTTAATATAATTTAATGTCTGCCACTCCCTCAACCTTTCTGCCCTCTTTCTCCCTGACACTCGGCCCTGTCTGCCCCTCTCCCCATCCAGGACACCAGCTCCATGAGGGAGGGAGACGGCTGGTCTTATGCAAAGCAGCCCCCGGCACACAGTAGGTACTCTATAAGTGCTCATAGATCGGCAGTGGACGCTCCAAAGTCCTGATGTCTGGGCAGCGGTTGGGGACGGAAGATCCAGATGCTGAAAGTTGGCCCCTGGAGTGGAGGCCCAGAGGGAAGAGCAGGTCCCCAAGGCCACCAGGCTGGAATTCCTACACCTGGCAGCCTCCCGGAGGCCCTCCCAGCAGCTGTGCCTCTGGCCCCCCGGGGCCCACCTCACCAGGTCCCACCCTGAGTTGACCAAGGGCTTCTCTCACCAGAGACGGCAGCAAAGATGGGAGGGGACTCCAAGGGCAACTCCTGAGTCATCTCCAACATTTATGGAGCACCAACTGTATGCCCTGCCTTGGACTGGGCAGCACAGAGATCGTACCTCAGTGACTTCCTGGGGGCCGGGGGTGGTGACTCAACCACCTCCCTGTCCTGAGGCCCTAGCTCTACAAAATTTACGGAGCATCTACTGGGTACCGGTGACTAAACTGAAGGTACCTGCCTACCTGCCAAGAGGGAGAAATTCCACACAGTGGATTTAGGGAGGAAGACAGTGCACTTCTCTGTTGACGCTTTTAATTAATTTTCTTTAACAGAAAGCAATCCTTTTGGAAAGAAGTAAAGCATTCCCAAGTAAGAAAAAATACAACCCTACAACCTACCGATGCTGGGAGGAAGTTCAGGAGGCCTCGGAGCCCAGAGGGGGCACCTGGGGAGAGGCTTCCTGGAGGAAACGAGCTCTGAGCTGAGGCCCCAGGATGCGCGGGCAGGAAGGGCCCTGTGGGAGGCAGCCGGCCGGAGGCTGGGGTGCTGATGTTGTGCACCCAGGCCCAGCCTTTGCAGCGTGTCCCCGAGCCAGCGTTTCTGGGGGGAGCTTCCTGCAGCCCTCGTCCCTGTGATTGTCTCTTTCTGTCTCCCCGGCGCACTCTTGTGCTGGAACTCTGCGAGGTCACAGCCACTCTGTCTCATCCACCTGTCTGTCCCCAGGGCCCAGAGCTCACAGCAGTCACCAAAACTCCTGTCTTTCCAGGAGTCCAGAATGTGGTTTTATCTGGACATCGGTCTTTGCAGATGTCATTAGTTTAAAGACCTTGAGATGAGACCCTCCTGGATCAGGGGTGGGCCCTACCTCAATGACCGGCGTCCGTGTGAGGACAGGAGAGGACACACAGACACACAGGTAAAGGTCACGTGGGACGAAGGCAGAGACTGGAGTGATGTCGATCAGCCAGGAAACTCTGGGAGCCCACCGGTGCCCGGACAGGCACGGGTTCTGTGTCCCGGAGCCTTGGAGGGATTCTGGCTCTGCTGACCTTGGTTTCCCAATTGTCCAGAACTGTGGGCGAATACGCTTCTCTTGTTTTCAGCCACCAAATTCGTGGCACTTTGTTCCAGCAGCCGCCAGACGCGCGTAAGTTTTGCTCATGTGGGTGAACAGGTGAGTGAAGGAATAAACCAAAAGCGGCTCTGGTGGCCGTCCAGGGCCACTTGGGTGTGGCGAGGCGACTGCCCTCGTCCCCTCTGACTGGGCTTGTATTCTGGGGTGCGTGCTCGGGCTGTGGGGCTGGGGAGGCTGGAGGCCGTCCAGTGTGTGTGTGTGTGTGTGGGGGGGGGGGGGTGTAAGGAGCTCCCGAGGTGACTAGGAAATCGGGTCGTGTAGACATTGCCTGCCCTCCCCTGTCCCCAGAAGCCCGTGTCCACACCCAGCGTGGACGCCCAGCTTCTGGGGACCTCGCCCCTCCTGAGGCCCTTCAGATACGCTGCAGCGAGTGCTTATCCTCAAATATGAATGCTCCTCGAAGTGTCCCCCCAAGTGACTCTCCTCATCTTCAGTTAGAGCCCAGGGCCAGGCCGCCGGGGGGATTTTCTCCACCTGTCCTCCCTTAGTTCTCCTGCCCGTCACTCTGAAGGTCAGGAGGCAGCGGGATGCAGGGGGAAAAGCCTGAATCCGGGCTCTGTGCTGAGCGATGGGGGGAGGGTCGCTCCTCTCTGAGTCTCAGTTTCCCCATTTGTAACGGGAAGAATGTCGCCCGGCTTCGAGAAAGCCGTGGTGGAGAGTGGATGAGAAGAAGCTGGTCCCGGGTTGGCGGAGCACCTGGCCGGTAGGTGTTTCTACGAGAGTGGGCTTGGGGTCCTGCTCTCCCGGGACATAGCCCTGGATCCTAAAGGGCGTTAGACCTTCCCAGCCTCAGATCCTTTCAAAGCCTCAGTCACTGGCCTGTGGCCTGTCCAGTGGCCCCACAAAGCCACCTCCACCCCCAAGGAGCCCAATATCTTTAGAAGGACCAAGGCTTGGATTTCTTGCCCATAAAATGCCTGAAATCAAAGCAGAGCTGAAGACACCGAGGGTTTTGAAGTTGGCTTGGGGCAGGAGGGGCTGTGAAATCCCCAGCGGTCTTGGCCTCTCTCCGGGAACCATGTAAACAGGGGCTCCTGGCAGGAGGATAGTGGCCAGGTACAAGGGGACATCTGTCGTTTTAGCAATGAGCTGGATTCCAACAAAGACTTACTGGTGCCCAGTTTTAGAGGAGACAGTTGGGGAGACTCAACTGACAACCGCCCTTTTTTCTGGTGTTAGAGGCAGGAAAGGGAGCCAGCAGCTGGGCCCTGAAACGAGAATTGTAATCCCTCCTCTGCCACTTACTTGCTGTGTGACGTCAGGCGACCTGCCCAACCTTTCTGTGCCTCAATTTCCTCACCCGCCAAATAGGAGATAATAATAATCTCTCCCTCAAAGGGTTGCGC